AAACTGCCATCTCCAACATATGCCAGCTAAGCAGTGGCCATCACAGTCCCTGTCTTCCAGATGAGACCCCTAACGCATGAGCAGGAAGCAGCAGCGAGGACCAAGGAGCAGGGCCTGAGGTCTCCAGATGCCGTGTGACCCTCTATGAGCCTTGGGGACATCATGAGGAGCAATGAAGGGCAGGTGGAGGTCACGGTTGCAACCTGCCTCCCTCCACCCTTCTGGGGTCCTCGTCCCTCTCACGGCCACCCAAGCGTCTATTAGGTCACTTATGTCCCTCCTCTCCCCATCCAGCCTTGTGCCCCATCCCACCTGTACCACCCAGCAATGCCCTGGGTACACAGTGGCTGCTCGGGGTGAGTATTGTGGTCCAGGTGGTTAAGCCACTAATGACAGCACCCACACCCCATATCACAGCATGGCTGGGATCCTGGCTGCTCTAACTCCCATCCAGCTCCCTGCTAATGTGCCTGGGAGGGCAGCAGAAGATGGCCCAGTGCTTGGGCCCCTGTACCCACATGGCAGAGATTCTGGGACCCAGCCTCAACTATCTTCCAACAGTCAGGCAGTAAACCACTGGTGGACAATCTCGCTATCATCAGCCTTTCAAATAAATACATAAAAACAAAAGCAAACGCTTGTTTCTTCTAAAATGTGTCTCTCTGTGTGTGTATATATACACACTCAACATTCACTGAATGAATGGATGCTGCATAAACAGCTCAATTCACTAGGCAGCAGTGGGAGAACAGGGCAGGGTGATAAGCCTCAGGGCTTCGCCTCCCCAGCCTCGCTGCACCTGCAGACAGACTGGGGCAGGTCCATGGGGGTCAGCCCCTGCTGCCTGGATACTGAAGCAGAGTCTGTGGGCAGGGCTGGATGCAGGTGGAGGGACAGGGACCAGACCTCACACGCAGTGCTCTCTCCCTAAATGATGCTCAGAGGTGAGCATGTCACATTCGGCAACTATCACACAGTCCACACTTACCCGAAAAGTGACTTCTGGTGTACCTGGCTGACTGCACAAGTGCCCTGTGGTTCTCCAGCCCAGCTTACAAAGCTGAGCACAATCATATACTCTGCATCCACAGGCCAACTCCCTCCCTCCTGCCCATCCAGGGGAAGCCTCCTGCCAACTGGCAGCACACACCTGTGAATGACCTCTGGGCTCCCACATTCACAGGGATCCATGGCTAAGGATGCCATGTGAATGACACATGTGCTGTATCCTATCCTGCTTCCTAGGCAGACACAGCTAATGGATCACAGCTTCATGCCCAGCACTAACTCACTCATCAGAATCTGGGTGTTCTGGGCCTCCGGGAACTTAACAATCAACATTAGCCTGTAGGGACCTGCGCTGTGGCACAGTAAGCTAAGCTATTGCCTGCAATACCAGCATCTCATACAGGCTTCAATTTGAGACCTGGCCACTCCACTTCTGGTCCAACCCCTGCTAATGCTCCTGGGAAAGCAGTAGAGGGTGGACCAAATGGGATCCTGCACCCATGTGTGGGAGACCTGGATGCAGCTCATGGTGCATGACTCTGGCCATTGCAACCATTTGGGGAGTGAACCAGTAGATGGAAGATTCTCTCTCCCCCTGTATCTCCCTCTCTAACTCTGCCTTTCAAAAAAAATTTTTTTAATGTAGTCTGTTACAGATTTACTGAATTTTGAGTTCTGCCTATGGTTGCTATGGTAGGGCCAGAACACATGGCGTCACTGGTCTTGTATGGCCAGATGTCCCCTACCCAACCCTACAATATTGTCGAGGAACTAAAGATGGAAAAACACCAGTGCTAGCTGTATACCCAGACTCCTGAGACAGAGGAGCCTGCGGCTGCCGCGAGAGCCCTGAATGTGGGAACGGCCAGCTCTGCATGGCTGAGCAGCCACTGCATGCCCCTCGCAGTGCCAAAAGCAAGAACATCGGTAACTGCCCATCCCTGATCCTCGCCAACACAGAAGCCATGGTCCACATCACGCCCTTTTTGACACAGGTCCCCAGGGCCCAGAGAGCTCTTGTCCAGCATCACACAGCAAGGAGAGATGGATGGCATTCACACACAGCTCATCAAACCCCGAGTCACAGTCCTGCAGAACCACACAGTACACCTCTTTCCAGAGCGTGCATCTATTTTCACCCTGGGTCTGGCCAGTATTCGCGGCGACTTGCAGTGCCCTTGCTTTTCCTGGTCCATGCTGGCAGACTGGGGGTATCTCTCCTCCCACCTGTTCACTGTGGCCCCAAGGGCAGGGGCTCCCCAAGGAACCCCATTCCCTCTCAATATCAGAGGTCAGCCAATTCAGGGCAGCCTTCAGGGCCCTAGACTTGGAAACAAGTGCTGGGTGTCCCAGAGGTGCGCGCCCCTAGCTGGCTCAAGTGTCCAGACAAGGTACCAAGATGCCCTCTCAAAGCCAGCCTCGGCACTCAGCCCGGGCAGGGCAGGAAGTGTTGGGGGCCGGCAGCCCAGCCCCATGAGTACACAGACACGCACCTTGCATGTTGTGTGCTTTGCAATGAAGGAGATAGTCTGTGTGCAGCCAATCTCCCATTGCTGGGGAATGAATGACCCAAGCCGGCCCCTACACAGGAGGAGGCCTGCCCACCCACAGTCTGTGCCAGCAAAGCATCTCACAGGCACAAGGCTATAGCTATGCCCTTGGTTGCCTCCTCAAGACACCAGACCTTCCCAAGGGCTCTCTAACAGCTCCATGGCCACTGCGGGGCAAAGTGGCAATGGGCAGGGCTTTGTCCTCTCCTCAGCGTCTGCCCACTTTCCCACTGTACCTGCTGCCTGGCCAGCCAGGAAGTTGACCTCCACGTTCCCAACAGCCCCTCCTCCCGCAGCATTCACAATGTGGCAGGAGCCTTCTGTCCGGCAGGGATCTCCCCTCTCCCTGGAACCACCCAGAGCACCCAGGAGGGAGACCTGGTTTTTAAACAGGGTTCTACCAGCCAAGGGAGGTGTGAGGGGGCGCAGCTTTGGGGATCCCACCAGGGAGGATGAAACGCTGTCTACATGAGGTGCTAGGCAGCTGCGATCATAGAGCAATGACGTCACTCCCACCAGGTCCCAGCTACCTATGCAAGCCTCCTCGGAGCTCTCACCATCCCATTTTATAGGTAGGAAAGCTAAGGCTCAACAAGACCCAAGGAATGTCCTCAAGGGCCACACAACAGCACGGGCTGGAACTGCCTGATTCGCCGGCTCCTCCGAGTCCCAGCCTTAAGCCCTTGGAGCTGTTCTTTGACTGACACTGGGAAGAAAAGTCCATATACTGCAGCCATCCCCTTTTTCACACGGAAGCTGCAGGTCAGAGGCCCCAAGTCAGTGCCCAGCAAGGAGGGCCCCACAGCGGGCAGTGCTGACAGCATCTGCCCTCTCCACACCACATTGCCAGAAGAAGCCAAGAGGCTGCCTGGAGGAGGCATCAGACAGGGCCCCTCAGCCTCCACTGCCTTTCCTGTCAGTGAGCGACAAGCAAGGACAGAGCCACAGACCTCAGCCCAAGGGACAGTGACTGCCTCCCCTCTGTCCGTGTGGCCCCTTGCACAGCACACAACACACTCTGGTGCCACAGCTCCCCAGCTGCTCCTGGCTACTCATTAACCAGCAGGCGGGGCTGAGGAAGGGAGAGTAGGGGCTGGCTTTGACCCTGCTCCCAGCCCGGGAGCTGTGGACACTAGGGCCAGGCCACCTGGGTTGAAATCCTTCCTAGCAAGACAACCTCAGGAACAGCTGGTTCCCACGGGCCTCAGTTTCCCCATCTGAACAACAATCCCTTGGTGACTGTAGCAGCAGCACCGGTATCCATCCATAAACGACTCAGCAGCAGTTGGTCCTGTCTCCACCCGTCTCAATCAGGCTGTCGAGGGGCAGCTGAACAGGTGCGTTAACCCCCATCCCGCCCTGTGGAGTCCTGTGGATGGCTGGTTGGTGACGCTCATGCCGGGAGCCTAGGAGGGACGGCAAGGACCGTGAACATGCCACGCAGCCTGTGGGCTCCCTCCACGCCCCACTCTGCACTGTACGGAGGGGAATCCCACTGGGCCTGCTGGGATATCACCACGAGAACACACCTCTTCGAGGTCAGGCTGCCTGTGACACAGCGCAAGGCCAGGCCGCACACTAGCTCTCTGCCTCACCTCCCAAGTGCCCCAGGGGCACACTGAGGCAAGGGCACTGAACCCTCCTTCCCCCGCCTTAGAGATCCCTACACTTCAGGAAGCCGGGGTTGGCAGATTCCAGAGCAAGTCACAAGCCAGCCGAGCAGCAGGCTGAGCCTGAGGCTGTGTGGTTCCAGGCTTGGGGCTGCACAAGTCTCCAGGGTTCATCCTACTGTGAGCTGTGGGGTGCATCTCTCACTGAACGCCCCAGTGAACACCTGAGAGGGACTTCAAGAATGAGATGCCCATTAAACCCACTTCAGAACCCCCTTGTGAGCCTCAACGGAAAAAGCCAAAAAAGGCTTTGATGCAAGCGGGCGGTGGCAATGAGCGCAGTGTCACTAGGGGCTGAGCTTAGATGGCAGGACTGTGTCAGTGAGCAGGCAGGGAGGAGATTCGGTTAAGCAAGGGCCTTCCCCTTGGAAGGATGGGGTGAAAGGGGCCGTGCCTGCTGTTTACTCCCCGTGATTCAGCAGCTCCAGAATATTCCGGTGACTTTTTACAGAACACACAGAGAGGATGCAGCAACCAGGGGAGACACACAGGGTATTGGCTGAACCGGTCCTGTGTTACCCAGAGCAAGAGCTTAGCAGGTTCCAGGGCTCCTGGCACATCCCCCCTCTGCAGGATGGCCACACGTACCCCTCCCAGGTGTCTGTCCCCCAGTCTTCTCCAGCAACTCTGGCAAGCCTCCAGCCCCAGGCTGGGACTCCAAAACAATGCTCACCCCTCCTCCCTGTCACACACAGGGCCCAGGCAGATCCAGGTGGTCAAACCCAGCCAGAGAACCCGAGGCCATCTGGGCAGAGGGGCCCAGCCCACTTACATTTCAGAAGCTGCTCAGAAGGGGCTGCAGTTTTGGCTCTTCACCTGTGGTGAGGACAGAGGAGAGGCGTGGTCAGGGCCCACGTGCACAGAGTTCTGACCAAGTCCAGGAGAGGAGAGTCAGACCATCCACCCCCCCAACACACACACATTCTTTCTCTTTCCCTCTCCACAGGAGTCGGGGTGTCACCCTGCTCCCCTGGGGAAGGCTGCCTTCTGCTAGCTACTCATGGGTAGTTGGGCATCCCCAGCCCAGGCTGGGCCGCCCACCAGCTCCTCAGGAGCAGATGCGGTCAGTGGCACTCGGAGCCTCCAACGCTTCTCCATTTTGCAGGGCTTGGGGGCGGGGCAGACTTTGTCTCTGAAGCACCTGCCTGGGGCTAGGGCAGAGGCCTTGGCCTCCCAGGCCACCCACCAGTGGAGCTTGGCTCTGGACTGGGAAGGCTCCCCCAGTTCCCAGGACAGAAAAATGCAGACAGCCAAAAGAAACCGGTCCCTTACCTAAGGGAGACCCCTGTTTGAACGAACACTGAATCTGGATTAGCAGAGGCGGGCAGGGGTGAGGAGGAAGGGCATTCGAAGCCTCCGGGACTTCCTCATCTCTCTGTCTGGCCCTCCCAACAGTCGCATCCCCAGACGCTCACAAGGCCTGGTAGCTGCCAGCAAATTAGCTGACCTCTTGGTTACGTGACGGGCCCCACCGGCTCCTGGGCCTGAGGGGTAGCAAGGACTCACAGCTCGGCGGCATCTTTGTGTCCCAGGTCCTGTACCCGGCACAGAAAGCCCAGCCTGAACAAGACCAGGGTGGTCTCCGCTTTCCCTGCGCATCCCCGCCTGGCCGCACCCCGCCCGCACCACGTCACTTCCTGGGCGGAGCCTCAGTTCTGGGAAGGCCGGTGTGGGTCCTGCAAGGGGCCATGTGGACCCCGCTCTCTGGAACACCACGGGAAGAATAATGTTTAGCTCACGGAAGAGAGGAAGCCAGCTCTGTAGGCTCAGACGGACACTCCACCTCTGGGGTTCCAGCCTGCTGGCACCAAGCCAATTCTGGGACCAGCCTAAACCTACTCCCCTGGAAGCCAGCGCACACCTGTTCTCAATCCAAGGGGTGTGGGTGCTGCCAGGTGGGTGTGCGAGCCAGGTCTAGTCAATTAGAGAGAGCTGCCATGATTGGGCTCAAGGACAGGCACCTGTCAGTGCCCAGGTACTTAGAACAATTGCCAGATATGGCTCAAAGTGCTGGGGAAAGACAGGCCCTTTCCAGGTTGGGGTGGCTAGCTAGGGAGAGAGCGGACACCCAGAGCAGCTGGGGCACCCTAAAGAGAATGGAGCAGGTATCAGGAGACAGGACCCCAGAAACACCACAAATCAGGCTTCATGCTGTCCCTCAGCACCTGGGCCTACCACACGCTGAAGGGATTCCGTAAACGTCGTGACTCCTCGGACTCCTCTTAGCCCAACAATCCGGCCCCCAGCACTGCCTCAAGAGCTCCGTGGGCTCTGCTCATCCCTTACCTTCCCCTACTCAGCCCAGCGGAGGCGGGGCAAGCACATGACAGACAGCTGAGGCCCCGCCCACAGTCATCCAGTTCCGTGGCAGAGGCTCAGTCTGACCCCGCCCCAGCCCAGACCCCCAGCCCCAGCCGCAGGGATGTTGTCAGAATTAAGCGCCTAGAGGGCCTCCTACTAATGGCCCGTAGGGATCTAAGTGGGCCTGAGATCCTGCATTCTGGTAAGTTCCCTGGTCCTTTCTGCTGGTCCAGGGATCCCATTCCCAGAGCACAAACTCTGCACCTGCACTATTCACCCAGTGGCTGAGGACCGGGGTGCTGGAGAAGCAGGCCCCCAATTTTTAAAAAATGCTCATGTGGTTGTCAGGATGAGTGGGCCAGGTCCCAGGTGAGGCCATTACCCAGGAAAAGAGCAGAGGCGGCTGTGAGAGTCCATGCTGCCTTCTCGGGTTCCAGCAGGCCGCCAGAAGCCCAGGGATTCCCCTACCCATCCCCCCATCTGTCGAGCAGTCAGCAAGGCCAGTGCCAAGTCCTGCTGCAGGCCGAATCCCAGCACACACCAGGGCAGCCGTGCACGCTCGCGGGGAGCAGGGCCTGGCTCGCTGGGCTCGTCCTGATTCACATTGCTCTTGGCTGGCCCCGACGAGCCTCCTGTGGTTTCTGGACGGCAGACATGGTCGGTAAGCCTTAAGAGGCTTTCCCGCTGCAGTCCCCTCCAAGGTGGCACTGGCCCAGAGGCCCAGCTGGCCCAGCTCCCAGCCCCGAGACCTTGGACCAGTTACCTGCTCTGGTGACCTCGGGTTTTCATAGGCAAAATGGGAAGAATAATGTCTCAGGGTGGGGGGGGGGGGCACAAGCCAGGGAATGATGTTTCTGGAACACAGGGCCGGGCAAGGCACGGGCACCTGGGGTTCCCAGGAGGGTTTGTTTTGGAGCGGGAATGGTGAATCCCCATGCTCACTTTTCCTCACATGATTTCCATGAGCCTTCTGGCAGCCCTCCAGTGTTTCCTTTTCAAAACCTGCATGGATATCAGCTTCCCTTTCAGTTCCGGGGGTTTCATGAAGTTTCTGAACCACCCTTATCTCAGGTGTCCCAGAGCTGTTATCTTCTTTATCTCTTCTACTCCCTCAGTCCAGACCCGTCCCCCCCACACCTGCTGCTTAGCCAGGGGTCTTTAGCCCCCAAATGGGAGCTACAAGATTCCATCACCAAGAAGCACTCAGAAAGCTCATGGAAAATGTGTGCTGTGGGAACCTTCTGTATGGGTTTCAAGCCCCTTGCACCGAAGGAAACTTCCAATTCCACTCTTCTTTTTAAAAGATTTATTTATTTATTTGAAAGGCAGAGTGTAGAGACAGAGATCTTCCATCCTCTGGTTCACTCCCCCAGGAGCTGGAGCGCCATCCAGGTCTCCCACATGGGTGCAGGGGCTTAGACACTTGGGCCATCCTCTGCTGCCTTCCCAGGTACACTGGCAGGGAGCTGGATTGGAAATGGAGTAGCCAGGACTTGAACTGGCACTCTGATATAGCATGCTGGTGTATACCAGCCCCAATTCTATGTTTCCACAACCTTTTGGAAGCCCCGTCATATCTGATGTTGTTTGTGATGACATCACTATGAGACAGCCCAAGGATGTGATGCAAGGATGTGATGTGATGTTAGCTGCTTCTGCTTCTGCTCAGGCCCTGGCCAGGGGCGACCAGGGGCACAGGTGGGTGGGTCCTGCCTCCCCACTGCTGAAGGCTTGGTCTCAGTCAAGGCAATTGCAGACAGGGGCTTCTGGCTGCTACAGTGCCTGTCTGAGGAAGGCTGGGTCTCAGGAGCCAGGCAGCACAGCCTCTTCCTGGCATGTGCATGAGGAGGTGTGGGGTGCTGTGGGGAGGTTACAGCCCTAACTAGTGCAGAGGCCATGAGGCTCCCACGGGGAGCCATGGACGCACCTGATGGAGACCTGAGTCTCACCTCTAAGGAGTGGCAACCCTTGTCGCCATGCTGTCTGAGTCAGCGCTGGCCAGCTAACGGGACCAGGAGCTCTCACTCCTGATCAGAATCAACCTGTCAAATGCTGCCAGGGCTAGGCCAGAGCTGGGAAAGTGGCCAGGGGTGCTTGAGGACTCTGGAGAGCAGGAAGGGACACGGCCCCTCCGCTTTTCCCACGGAGCCCAGGTAAAGCTGTGGCCAAGTGCCCACCAACAGCAACTGGCTGGGATTCATGACACACAGCCAGGGCTGCTGGGAGACCCCCTAGGCCTGGAACAAGAAGGCTGGATGGAGAAGAACTGATCGGAGAAGGACAGCAGAACGCAAGTCCTTTTGCAGGATGCGGCTGCTGCTTTTCTCTCTCTCGTTTTAAGGTCATCTCTGATCTTTATCCCACCAATGGTGGAGGGGACAGCGTCACTGCAGCTCTGCCCCAGGCGCCTCTAAACCCAGGTCCCAAACTGAGACACCTCCTTGCATAGTGGGGACTAGAACTTCCTGAAATTCCAACAGGAGGCTTCACCCTCACCTCAGACAGTACCCCACGTGGGACCCTGCACCCCTACACCATGGAGAAGGGTTTTCTGCTCTGTTCTTCAGCAGGTAACTTCCCAGGCATGCGAAGCCCCCAGGGTCACCCTTCCCAGGTTGGGGAAACAAGGACCGCCAGGTCACAGAGAAAGCCGAAGCCAAGGCATGCAGGTCATGGTGCTGCACCAGCTGGGCCCTCACTCGGACCAGGGCCTCTGTTTCCACTTGCGGCTGCCACCAGACAGCTCCATGGGAGCATGATCGGGTCTGTTTTGTTTGCCAGCCAGTCCCCAGGGCCTGTGACATACAGGCTACTGCTGGGCAGATGAAGGAAGCAAAGTGATGGGCAGACGGATGGTTGGTGATGAGTGGTTGGGTGGATGGGTGGGTATGAGTAGGTGAACAGGCAGGTGGATGTCATTTCCAAACAGGGACTCACTCAGATGTCCCAGCTGTGTTCCCATCTCTGCAGGGAAAGCAGACGTTTCTGATGGGTTTGCTCAGCACCCCTAGGAAAGGGGGCCATTGCCCTGCGTCCTAGTGTGTCCACCCCTCCCCGAATGTCATCCCAGCCAGGATGTCACACGAGATCACCAATGTCTGGACGAGAGCCTGAGTAAAGGCCACAGGAGCCCAGGGCCAGGCAGCCTTAAGCCCCTTTTGCACCTGTGTGACATTTTTGAAGGCTTGCTAGGTGCCAGGCACCACTCAGGAAGTGCCTCGTGGCTCAGGGTACATCCCACTGCCACGTGCAGGGAGGGATAAGGACCAACGCAAGCAAGGGCCTCACGGACAGAACAGCGCAGGCAGGACCCAAAGAGCTGATGCCAGGCCCCAGAGAAGGGACCAGCCACGCCACTGGGAAATGGAGAATCTTCTGCAGGTGAGAGGGAGACTGGCTGTGGGCCTGACCAGCAGGGCTGGGCAAAGAGTTTGAACTTGATCTTAAGGAGCACTTGGGGGACTTGTGAACCAGACAGCGGCACATGGGAGCTGGCCCTGGAGGCAGCCCCACTGCCCAGGACTCCAGTGGCTTCTGTTTGTGGTGGGGACAGCGGGCACCACCTCATGCCAGCAGGAAGGCCCCAAAGCCACACGCTGAGCCACCCTCCGCAGGTGCCTCATGGTGGCAGGGGAGCAGCAGCGTCCTCATGGCCTCCCCTCCCATGCCCTTTGTCCCCTGGGCTGGAGGCCTCTGTTCACTGAACCTACCACGCTCCTCCACCCCCACCCCAGCAGCCCTGGGCTGAGGACTTCCCACTGGAAAGGAGACAATGGAATGGGGGGGGGGGAGGAACAGAGAGGGAAAGGGGCAGTGATTCAGCTCTGTATGGAATGCGAGGAAAAGCTGCGCAGAGGAGTCTCAGGCCAGCCAGCAGCGGGAGGGACCCTGGACACATGCAGATCTAGGCTCCACGTGGGCTCAGTAAGGGCTGGGTGGGCCCCAGGGTGAGAACAGTTGAAGAAGGCCACCCTCCTTTTTCCTGGTCCAGGTCTGCTGAGATGCCTACCTGAGGATGGGAACAGTCCCTTGCCAGACCCACCCCTCATGCCATGACCTCAATCCCCCAGCCTGATCCAGGGTGCTCCTTGCACAGAAGAGCTGTACAGAACTACTCCCCTCCCCCCACCCCCGTGAGGGTACAGCCCTCCTGACACCTTTCTCATCTGGAAATACTGAGCAGGCTGGGCCTGCTTCTATGGGTGCCTGCAGGGCAAGTTCAAAGCCACAGGATGGGTATGTCATCCTGGAGGTCCCAGGAGCAGGATAACCCCTTTTTGTTTTAACATGGAAAGGGTCCACAATGGCCTGTGGTTATCTAGACCCAAGCAAACAGAATGGAGAAGAGTGTGATGTCACTTCGCCATGGCTGGCTTGCTGAACAGATCCTACATAAACCCTGAATCACAGAGAAGAAAACTGATCCACAAAGCAACAAAGAGGAGTTTGTGTCTGTATCGTCCCCCAAGAGATGCAGCAAAAGCTGCACACAAAGGGAGATGCACAGCTTTCAGGCCTTTGTCATTTCAGAAAGAAAGCAAGATGACAGACAGATGTCCATCCTCTTGCTGGCTAGAGACTGTGCCTGCCTTGAACGGGGTGAAATGGTCCGTTTTCAGTGGGTTGCTTTTTACAGCGTGAGGTGTCTCATGGCTGTGATTCAATGTGTTAACAAGTTAGTGTCTATCTACCTTGTGACACCTCCTGGAGGCAGCTCCAGCTCTCCAGAAACGAAGACACAGTCCACAGAAGAGTTGCCCACATTCGCCCAAGTTTTATCCAGAATAGCCCACATTGGAAGTCACCAAGACACCCACCAGTGGGTAACAGCCAAGCAAAGAGGGGTCCAGCAGCCCTAAGGTTCATGGGGGATCTAAATCGTGATGGCCCCTAACAGCCCAAGCCCTCTAACCGCTGTCTTCCCTACACGCCCGCCTGTGACAAAGTCTAATTTCTAAGTTAGGACAGTAAGAGATTAACAGCAATAGCTAATAGAAAGGCAACAATATACTGTCATAAAGTTATCTACGACTTACGAGGCGCACATTTCTGGAATTTTCCATGTTGCTCTATCAGGTTGTAGGTTGGCCACAGGTAAGTGAAACTGCAGAAAAGCAAAACTGAGGGCAAGCAGAGGCAGCTGCGTGCCCACACAGTGGAAATGCCACTCAGCAAGAAGGGGATTCACCGTGGGTGGGCACACTCGGGGACATCAGGCAGAGAAACGTCAGATTCCATGCCAAAATAGTCGCTGCACAGCCCACTGAAGGAAGTGGCTCCAAATCAGCAAGCAGCTTGTTTTGGGTGCCAGGGATGCAAGACAAGTTTCCAGGGTGCTAGAAGCAGTTGATTATCAACCTGGGCTACTAGAAGCATAGATGTTATGCTTTTGATTTTAAAATATTTCGGGAAAATAATCATGAGAGAACTTTTTAAAAAGGCAGATTCCGAGGCCACCCCACCTGGGACTTCTGAATGGGCCTGGCCTTGGGATCTGGATTTTTTTTTTTTTAAGGAAGGAAAAAGAAAAACTAGAAAAAGGATTCCAAGTGATTGTGTAGCTTGGCTGCAGGCTGGGCAGCCACCGCCTCACGCCCTAGGGGTTTGCCTGCTGGCTTTCACAAGATAGGCTTGCTTGGCCAAGTCCCTTGCTCTGCCACCCCCAACCCCCTAGTTCCCACCCCTGGCATCCACCTCCACTCCAGGTGAGGAGGGAATACCCCACAACCACGTCCACAGCTCACCCTGAAGACGCTCGGGTGCATGCTCCGGGGAGGTCAACACCAGAGAATTAATGGCCTGTGCACCTGCCAGGCAGCGCGCCCAGGTCTTCACCCCAGGTGTACTGAAAGGGCTTGGGGCAACATTCACTGGCACAGAAAATGCTCCTGCTCTGCCCAACAGCACCTGAGCCACGGCTGGCTCCTGAACCACCCTGGATCTTGACTTGCCATCGGGGGTCCCCCGGGCTGCATATTAGCCTGGCTTCTCCCCCTCTGGCCTCAAACACAGCTGGTCCTACTTCTATCATTGCTGCTTAACTTCTTCAGCATTCAAGGCCACCAATCTGGCTCCTGTCCTCTTGCCAGCTGAGGACTCAGGGACCCTGCTTTATGTCTTAGTGCTCTAGAGCAGCTGTACCTCCTGCTTGGCATGTCAACTCCTAGGAGAGACCATGCCTCCAGCACGTCCTGGCAGAGGCCAAAGTGCCTCTGCCACACTCCACCTGTGGATGGGCAAGGGACAGTCTGCACCTCATTCCACAGATAAGGAAATTGAGGCCCCTGGAAAGATTGCCTGCAGGGGCTAGAGCAGGC